CTTAATAGAGTCTAGTCTACCTATAGTATAGTATAAAGATAATCTATCTAGTCTATTTAAGCTAGATACTTATAGGTTTTCGCTAGAGTATCTATAGTTACTTAATATCCTACCTTAATTAATCTATTAATTTAAGGATAGTACGCTAAAATTATTACTCTCTTAATATTATACTTCTTTATTAACTTAATAGTTAGATTCTTATTTTCTAGTTTACTATTAACGATTAACCTTCTAAAGATACTATATTAATAGATTACGTCTTCCTATAGAAACTTAGAAACTATCGTACTATTATTCTACGCTATCTCCCGCGCTTTTACTTATCTACTAAATAAACTCTAAGCTTTTATAAGATAACTCTTTTAATAGGACTTTAATATCGATAATATATTAATATATATCTATTCTTATCTCTTATCTATATATATTAACTATATCTATTCTTATCTCTTCTCTATATATTTTAACTATATCTTCTCTTTAATCCCTAAGATACTTTAAATTAGTATTCTTAGTACGTTTATATATACTTCTTAATATCTAAGTATAATCTATCTTAATAATATTAATTAATAATTTAAGAGAATATACTCTTACGACTCTTATATTTACTATTATTATATATTTTCCTTAAAATTAATTATTAAGTAGTCTCTTAATTAACTATTTTATAGATAGACTTTATAATATTTAATCGCTAAAAGAGATAATCTTCGCGTATAAAGTATTTTAGTATCTCTCTTTAGAATCTCTTAAATTTACTATTAATTAATTTAGTTAGCCGCTTAAATCGTTATAAGTACTCTACTATTTTCTTTAATTTATTTAAGTATTTCCCTTCTTTTAACTTCTTTCACTAATTATTTTCTATATTACTTACCGTTCTTTTACTTTCCCCTTTATTTCCGCTTATAGTTTCTTCCTATTTATTTTCTCTTTCTTCGTCGCCTACTCTTATTATATTTATTCGTAAACTTTTTCTTTTATTATTCTTTAACCTATCTTATATAATTACGTAATTAAGTATCTATCTAGTCGTTATTCGTATTTATAACTCTCTACTTTAACTAGGTATATTCTTACTATAAATAACTAAATTATAATCTATTTATTAATATCTTCTTCTCTCTCTACTACTTTAACTTCTTTAATCGTTTCTAGTCTATATAATAGTATATCTATCGCGATATTCTTTACTTTTAGTATATATCTTACTTTAAAGTTAAATAACTTAATCTATATTAACTATTAAGTAACTAGCGCTCTTAATAAGTTTATTACTAATCTATTTAATTATACCGCTAGAGTTAGGATATTAGTTTCTACTGTAAAGATTATACTATATAGCTATATCTTAAACTTCTTATGTACTTTTAATAGCGTACGATGTTCTCGCTTACTAACGTTATACCTAGCCTTAGCTTTTAATTAAAGACTACTCTCGTACTATATAAGATATTAGCGCTTTAAATTACTTATTAACTATATTAAAACCGTACTCTACCTCTTTAAGCTTACGTTAAAAGTAAGAATAATTAAACTAGTATTAATATTATAATTAATACTTATTAATATAAGCGCTAAAGTTAGAGTAAGTTATAATAAATTTATTATCTTTATCTCTACTTCTTTCTATTTCTATTTAATACTCTTCTTAATTAGATAATATAATACTATAGGAATAAAAGTAAACTCTTTAATCTAGATCTAATAATAGATATAAATCTTAAGAAAACCTTTTAATTCTATAATATTTTAAGATAGTAATTATATTAAGATCTTTTCTACCTTTAAAGTATTAGAATATCTACCTTCTCTATTATAGATATATCTAACTATTTTAATTCTAACTATATAGAACTAAGACTTTTCTTCTAATATCGTCGCCTCTACTCTCTTAATATTATATAGTACTTAATTAAGATTTTATAGGTATTCTATTATAAATCGACGAATATCTAGTATAACTTCCTTTATATAGTAATTAATATTTAATCCTTTTATCGTAATATTATCTATAAATAGTTACGTAACTTTAGAAATCTAGGCTACTAATATCTTATTTAAAATTCTTATAAATTAAGTAATTAAATTCGTTACGTCTTATAGTAGCGTCGTTTATCTTATTAACTCTAAGAGCGTCTAAAATATAGTTATATCTCGATATTTTATAGCGAGATTAACTTAATTCTATTATAAAAACTAATCGATTAAACTTAGAGTATATATCTTAGTAAATTCCTTAAAGAATTCGTCTAAAGATAGCGGTAAGTTAGTATTACGAATAGTTATATAATTAATATTTATTACTACATTAATAATATAATACTTTCTAGTCTTCTTCTTTCTAACTAGGAAAAATAGATTATAGTATAACTTATAGTATACTTTTAAGACGCCTTTTCTAATACGATCTTTAACTAATTTAACTACCTTTCGTTTTAGCGCTCTTAAAATATAAAAGGACTTTACTTACTACGCTTTATAAGGGATTATTCTAATTATCTATAATAAAGCTACTTTACGACTAATCTTTCTAATCTTTAAGAAGGTCTATATAAGCGCGCCTTCTTAATTAAATAGTAACTCTATAAAGATATCCTTCTTTATAGATTTTAGGATATTATCTACTAATAAAGTCTCTAATCTTATTAGAGCTACTTCCTATATAGCCTAACGTAGTTAGGCGTCCTTAGTTATAGTTCCTTTATTATATAAGCTAGGTTAAAAGTACGTAAGGTATAAGTAGCTAAGTAACTTTAGAATAGTATAGTAAAGTAGATATTATAAGTTAACTACGAGAGAGTATAACTATAAAAAGGGGAATAAGCGTAGCTATATACTTATAAGGTATACTCTAAATAGGTAACCGGGAATAGTATATTAATATATTAATATAGTAGTATATTAATATATCGCTATATCGTCTTTTTCCTCTTTTAGTAGTTACGTACGGTACGTAACCTAGCCTTATATTACTAGGCTATCACCCCGGTAGACCTACCTCTAGGCGCCCCGCGCTCTAGGTCGTATAAAGGCTATTTCTAATATTATAGTCCTTTATTCTATATATTTCTTTTATTAAGTTTAAGCCTTAATATCTAAGATAGTAATGCTAGAGGGTTAAGAATAATAAGAAGGAAGATAAAGAGAGGATAAACTCTACATATTAGATATTAAGAAAGTGACCTAAGGGAGTAGATTTATAGTATTCATAACTAAGACTAAGTAATATATAAAAACTATTTCTTGATAAAGTATTGAATTAAGAGTTATATAGAAACCTATAATAGTAATTAAGTTTCTAAATATCTAGCTATCTATAAGAACTACTAGATAGAAGGATTAAGTTTAAATTTAGAAGGCTCTCTTATAAAGAGATAATTAAAGTTTAGAAGATTAGTAAGTACGCCTTAAGTTATAAAAGTTCTATCTTCTATTACTTAAGTTTAAATATATAGTAATTAACATTAGTTCTAAGTAATAAGTAAAGAGAGTAAGAGAAGGAAGAGAAATAAAGAAGGAAAGTTAGGCCTTAATTATAATTCTCAATATAATAGTAAATTTAATATAATTATATATAGAACTAAGTTATAAGTTTAAAGTTTTTCAAAGTTAAATAATTCCTTATAATAAAGTAATAGAAAAGGATAAATCTTAACTAGTCTTAAATAATTATATTTAGTATAATCTCTTATTAACGCTTTAATATAATTAAGACTAAAGTTTATTAAGCTTAAAGAAATCTTAAGTAGGTAAACTTAATAATTCTTAATTTAATATAATTATATATAAGTTCTATAAAGTCTGTATTATAGCGCATTAAGGTTAGTTAATTAAAGATCTTAGAAAGCATTATAATATAACTGATAATAAAAATATAATCTATTAAGAGTATAATTATAATATAAATTCTAAGTTAAAGGAATCTAACTAGTAGTTACGGCGATAGTATAAAAGATAAAGTTCTACGCGCTTAGCCTTATATAGGGTATCCTACTACCTAAGGCGCGTAGGCTATGACATCCCTACACTCTATCTCTTTACTATGGTAAGGAGTCTTTCTAGATAATAGCGCCTATAATAAGTCTATGAGACGCTTCTAAATAGACAGAGCTATACTCTTATTAGAGATAGGGTCCTTAACGACCCCTCTATTAAGTTCTACCTATAGAGACAGTATTTCTTACTTTACCCTCTTTTATACTACCTTTCCTATAAGCTACTCTCGCTCTATAAGAAGCTCGTATAGTATTAGTGTTATCTATTTATTAATCTAAAACTAACTATATAAAGACAATCAGAGTATTTATCCCCTTATTAAAGAGTATATAGACGCTTCTCATCTATCCTCTTCTTTATCTAGGGTTATCCCTCTAGATAGTCTAGGTATACTATTACCCTACTCTTAGCTAGTTATACGAGTAGCATTATATTATAGGGAAGGGGGGTTAGGAATGATATTAGGCTATAGATTTCCCATGGTCTCTTTAGCAGCTTCGCCTTTAAGCTCCTCTAGGACTTAAAGGTACTTACTAGCCGCGTAAATAACCCTAAGTTCGCGCCACGCTAGATATACTAAGCGTGGATGGGCCGTAACTAATATCCTATATTATTAGGATGATAGGAATACTATTGATAAAACTACTAGAGCTCCTAAAGAGGCTACCGGTAGATGATAGAATGTAGATTATTTAGCTAACTAATAGATAGTAGGTATAGAAGGTATAATATATAAGATTATCTATAGTATTAGGGGAGTCTTCGATGAGAGAGCTCCTAGTGTACAATAAGTGGGAATAGGGCGTACGCTCTTAGTATATCCTAGGTTTACGTAAGGGATCCCTAGGGAAGGCGGTATAGGCCGTGACAGTCTGGTTCTCTCGCCGTCCTGTAAATGCGTCCGCGTTTGCCAAACACGATGGTCGTGCTCCAGCCGTGAGGAGCGACGCTGTTCATGGTGGCATGCCGGTAAGGTCAATTTCCTTATGATACTCCTACTGGTACAATTGCATGGCCGTGTCCGCAGCAACCTTGGCTATGCTCGCGATCATGCTTTTGTCCATTGCCAGGAAGGCGATGTCGAACAGAACCTGCCCCAACTTGGCGGCGATGATCTGGTTCTGGAGCGCATCGCTATCCAGAACGCAGAGGGACCATCTGCCAGCCTCCGGACAGTCCATGAACTCCGCCTTCGGAAATAGAGCGTGTGATTCCTTCATCTGCTTCCCTGAAATGTCGCCTTAGTCAATGCCTGTCTTCGGGGAGCGAAGGCTATCAACCTGGTATTCGGGGTTTTCCAGACCTCGGCCGAGATCCTTATGGTAGGCAGAATACTTCTGACGCTGCACCAGTTCGTTTTGGCAGGTCTTGCCGCCATAAACGACCTGAATGCCGTGGGTGAAGTAAGGATTGAACCGGGCGACATAGACCGCATTGGGTCGATAAAGCATCATGTGAAGATGGAGGTGTTCCTTCTTTCGCACCTAATGGAGACGGGTAAGAAGTAAACTGAGTAATTCCTCCAGAGTAGCGCCGGGAGAGGTAAGCTTGGGTAGAGACATTGCGATCTGGGAATGCTGAGGGGAATGTGACGTCAGGGTTGAACCTTGAAGGAGGCTCGGTTCGGAGGAACCAGTGCTAAGCCCGAAAGTCACGTGTGGCGGAAGAATAATATTCCGTACGTAAGGGATGGATGACTTATGTAGAAGAGGGAGGCAAGGGAGGGAGGTAAGACAATGAGTACCCCTTACAGTGGAGCATACGATATAAGGAGAGAGAGGGGGAGCGTTCTTCCTTCTTTCTTTCCCTCCTCAGATTTGTCCTCCTTATTACTAGGTTGGGAAGCCAGTTGCAGAACTCTTTCTAACCCTCCAGGGGAGTGTAAATGCCGTGGTGTCAAGGAGTAATTCGACAGTCAGATCGACCTTTCTCTCAGCACAAGCAATTGCATCCATCCCTCGTCACCAAATCAGTTCTCTCTCAACAAAAACCCCACAGACCAAGGCCTACAACGTGTGTCAAGTACTACGAGCCTGAAGAGCTGCAAGCGCCGAGAATCACCAGAAACCCTCGGAGAGTGGAGGAACCGGTCGAACGAGCATCCGACGAAACAGGCGACAAGGTAGCGGGCACCAAAAATTCGGTACACAATCGAATAAAAACACAGCACAATTCTCCCGCAACTTACCAGGGTCAAGAACGTCGGCGATGGGTTGACCAATGCTAAAGAGGGACTGGAAGGTTTGACTTGACCTTGATAGTGCAGGATCGAGGATAGAACAGGCGTCTTACCCGTCATTAGCGCGTCGATCGCCCAGCTCCTACAGAACTCGGCCTTGGTCTTTGTGTTCGGAGCCCGTACTTATGCTAACGTCAGGCAAATCTGCAGGCAGCCCACCCCGTTCGGGCAGGAGGGTGATTTCCCCCTGTACTCACCCCTTGGTCACCCCTGCGAGCTGTCGTCTGCTGACGAAGACCACGTTCGATGGTCAACGTTCAGAGGTCGATTCATCGAGGGGACTTTGGGAGATTGGGAAGGCGGAAGACCAAATTAGTCTTTAGAAAACTGAGCCTGAGATAAGATATACGGGGCGGCGAGGAAGTTATTGTGAGCGAAGGAACGGCACCTCAAACCAATCTCTGCCACCTACTAAAGTGCAAAGCAAGGACACCCGACTTTCTGTAGGTTGGTAATCTCCCGCTCTCGACGAGAGCTTCATCAACAACTGCGACCTGAATATCAGTGTTCCTAGTTCAATAGGGATTGGACAGGAATTGCCGTATCCCGCTGTGTGTTTGAGTCCCTGGAATACTCAAAGGGCTGACTTTCTTTGTCCTCAGAACTGTCCTCGCTGTCACTGTCCATGTCTGCGCCACCGCCTGTTTCAGCAATGTTGAAATGGGAAAACAACTCGGTTTCGTCCTTGCTTTCCTTCATCAATCTGATCACTGTTTCCTGCTCCGCAGTCGATCCTTCTCGCATGACATTCAGAATCTGATGCAGCAATGCTATCTTGGCTTCTTTTTCTTGTTGATGCGGCCTCATGCGTCGATCATCTCCGACATGGCAAGCCAAATCTTTTGTCAGACAACGATGGCAAGGTAGGGTTCCGCTGCACTGTGCCGAATCAATACCTCCGAAAGCCAGGCCTGAGGAGTTCAATTTCGCACCTTTCTTTTGTATCTTTGACATTCTCGACAGGCCGTTGTGGCTCTTTTCCGAGGACCGTCTGGTCGCCCCATCGCTCCAGCGGTTGTTAAGGACGCTTCCATTTGTCAATAGAAGCAGATTTGATGGTGTGCTGGGACTGACACTGTGTATTCAGAGGTTCAAGTATAAGTGGAATGACTTGACTGATTGATGAGGCAAGGAAATCTATCAAGCGCAGCTTGCGGATTTGTTGTACGCGGCGGTGGGAATTATTCGGCTAACATTCCCGATCAGGGTTACGGTGACACCAAAACGACAAAGTCCAGCATTCCCAAGACTGTTGCCTGGCGACCACGTGATCGGGACAGCTATTTTGGATGCTGCCGTCACCGCGAGACACTGGTATGCGTCACCGTTCGCGGGGCAACGAATCACATTCCCCTTGCCTCCCTGATCTTTCAGGCCAGTAGACCAAGCCTGCTCTTGACCCTGACCTCGACGTGCGGGAAGACTCGAGAGATTGTTCCGAGTATCCTTTGGATCCATTTCGTCTTTGTTGGACAACCACTGGCTGCAATGATCTAATTTTTTGCTTGTGACGACCTCGAATGAAGGCCACCACAAGAAGGATGATACAAGATCCCATTGACTAGCACAGAGTATGAGTTGCGGGTTCTGCAAGCCGAGATGGGAAACTAACGAGGGAAGCTGCCATTGATCACGACGCCATTGTCGAACATTGAGGGTTGAAGACGGCCAAGGCGGTGCGTCATTCTCAGGCATGAAGTCGAAGGGCAAACCCAGACCATCGATTGCCTCAGAGTCAAAAGGGCGGGTACTCGTAGGACCCCATGGTCCCTATCATGAGCAGAACGACCGTGAATGGATCTTAAGCGTTTGGAACAGTGCTCGTCCGCAATCCTGTACGGTGCATTCCGCGATCCCAGACTTGATAACCTTGCTCTTATTGAATGACTTTGCACTTTCTTCGCGCGAAGGCCAGACATCACACCCGAATCCTGCTGTCCCCGGGGGATCTGGAAAGCAGTCCGGGTATAGCTTGCTCAGAGAACTGGCTCGAGTTCTTTCTCTTTGATGAAAGAATGAATCTCGTCAGCGTTAGCCTTAAATGCCTTGATATCCTGATGTTGAGGTCCATGTCGATCGGGACGGCCAAGGACGACCCCTCAAGTGTAAAAGACCGGATTACCTCGCCCGTTGAAACTAGGCATAGAAGACTATTACTTACTCAGGTAGACATATACCGTATCACGAACACCTATATAATACTAGATACTCTATATGACATTAACTAAGGAGTTAGGCCGCTAACTAAGTAGCTAGCTTACCGTATATATATAGTAAGAGAGGTTATACTTATTAACTCTAAAGCCTTCTTTAAGCGTTAATATCTCTATCTATAGACTAATTATCTATTATTATTAATCCTATAGTATATATATTTACTCTCTAGTTAGATAATAAGTTTAATAATTTATTAACGCTTCCTATCGTAGATAGTAAATATAGTACTAGTATACTATAAGTATATTAAGCGCGGTAAGGACGTAAGCGTAGGCCCGTAATCGATCCTAATCGAGATTAAGTTCTAAATTTAAAGAGATTAAATAGCCTCTTTAACCTACGATCGTCCTCTTATAATCTAATAATTCCTCTACTTAAGTAGGAGGAGAGCTATTAAGTAATATCTATTCCGTAGGGGAGAATAACGTTAAGTTATAAAGGGAAGGTAAGATACCGTAACTTATAGTAAAAGAGAGGTATAACGAGGTTATCTAAAGGCTAACTTAAAAGAAGATAGAAGAAGTAATATATAATAAAGAGAGAGAGTTAATAAGTAAAGAGTTTATTAATACCGTACTTATAGAAGATATATTAACTTAAATAGTAAAAAGACCTTTATTAATTAATTTAGAGTTTAACTAGAGTAAATAATTACGTTTAATTAAGTTATTAAGATATTCTATAAATAACCTTAAGAAATATATTAAATTTAAGATAGTATAGGAACTCTAATTTAAAAATATAAATATCCTAAGAGAGGAGTATACGCTTTATATTAATATAGTAACTATATATCTTAAGAATATCGCTATAAGATAGTAAATATCTAAGAAAAGGAACGTTACTACGTAATAGAAGTTTTTATAGTTTTATTAGGATTTTATTATTACTTTAAGTAATTACCTTTTATTTATTATTTTTAAGCTATAAATAAGAAAATAGTAGAAGGATTAGACTATAAGGGAACTTCTAGATAAAATCGTCGCTATTAAGTATAATATTTTAGATAATATACCGTTATTTAAGCGACGAGTCTAGTATTTCCTTAACTTATTATATCTTAAGTTAAGGATAGCTATTTTAAGAGAGATACTAGAGGTAACTAGTTAAAAATAAGTCCTTACTATAACTTAATATATTAAAGAGGTTAATAGAAGTTATAAAGTATATAAAGCGTAGACTATAAGTAAATAAAGAATATCTATAAGATCTATAACTACTTTTAAGAAGATAATAGTTATTAAAAAAATAAAGAAAAAGTAGTAGTTAAAGTTTAACGATAACTACTATAATTATAGTAAGAAGGACTATTATTCTAGTAAATATTAGACTTTAAAGAAGAATATAGACTTAAAGTATAAGTTAAGCGGTAAATTCGTAGAAGATTTAAAAAACTAAGTACTTATATTATAAGTATCTTAATAGTATTAGAACTTCTTTATTAAGATATAATATAAGTATTACTTTATATAATTATTAATATATAAGTAATAACTTCGTAAGATCCTTATATATTAAAAGTAAAGATTAACTTAAAAGTAGAGATTAACTTTATATTATAAAGCTTTTATATTAAGAATATAATACTAGGAGAACTAGTTAGACTTATAGCGCGCGTTATAGACGGAAGGATCGTTCTAGTTTACGGGTAATATACTTACTTAATATATACTACTAACTTAAAGAAAATTACGAGAGATATCCTATATAACTTTATTACTATAGATATCTACTATATTAATATAATCTTAGATATTAAATAGTTATTAAATATAGATCTAGATATCCGTTAATTAAAAGAAATATAGACTTACCGTCTAGGATAAGAGATTAAGATTATTAACGCGTAGATTATCTCTTAAGATATAACTTTATATATAGTTTATTTTAAGTTTAATATACTTAAGATAGAAGTAGTCTTTAGAGTTAGATTAAACGTAGTAATAATTAAATCTATTCTAAAATATATAAGAGATTACGTTAATATTTTTAAAGAACTAGATTTATTAATTCTATCTAAGTATATAAAGATATAGTATTTTATCTCTATTAAAGAAGAAGTTAAGGTACTATTTTACTTTATTTACTCTCTTAATAGAAATAAATTAGTCGTCCTTTAAGAATATATTAATAAGATAAGTATAAAGAGCTAGATATAACTTTATAAGTCGCCTATAAGTATCTTAATTCTCTTTATAAAGAAGAAAGATAAAGATCTTAGATTATATATAGACTATAGAGATCTTAATAAGATAACGATTAAGAATTATTACTTACTTTTATTAATTAGCGAGATACTTAATTATTTATTAGATATAAAAGTCTTTATAAAACTAAGTTTACGAGATATATATTATAAGATTTTAATTAAGCGGAAGGACTACTAAAAGATTACTTTTTATACGCGCTACGGTTATTTTAAGTACTTAATAATATCTTTTAGTCTCTTAAACGCGTTAAGGATATTCTAAGTATATATAAATAAAGCGTTAAAGGAGTACTTTAACGATTTTATTATTATTTATATAGATAATATCCTTATATTTAGTAGAGACTTAAAAGAGTATATTAAATATATATAATAAGTACTATAAAAGTTAAGAGAATATAAATTCTTCGTAAAACTCTTTAAGTACGAGTTTAAGATAGAGAGTATTAATTTTCTTAGTTTCCGCGTAAGTATAGTAGATATATAGATAGATCTTAGTAAGATAGAAGTAATTTAAGACTAATTAGTATTAAAGAGCTATCGCGAAATCTAGATCTTTTTAGGATTTACGAACTTCTATTAGGAATTTATTAAGGATTACTTAAGAATAGTAGTATCTATTATAGATCTACTTAAAGAGATAGTAAAAGATAAGAAATTAGAGCTATTTTAGTAGACGATAGTAATATAGCTCGCTTTTAAGTAGCTAAAAGTACGCTTTAAGTATAATATAATACTCTTTTACTTTAAGAATAATAAGTTAATAAAGCTTAAAATTAATATCTTAAGATTAACTATAAGCGATATCCTCTTCTAAGAGTATAATTTACTTATAAATAGTATAAAGAAGAAATAGTATCTAATAGTCTTCTACTTAAAGAAGTTAAATAAAGTAGAGCGAAACTATCCTATAGAGGATTAAGAGATATTAGTAATTATACGTACTTTTAAGGAATAAAGATACTTCCTTAAAGCGTCTACTATTAGTATACTTATATTAATTAATTATATTATATTATAGAGTTTTATAGATATAAAGATACTAGATTAAAGATAAATTAAGTAGATAAAACTTCTAGTATCCTTTAATTTCGTAATTTACTATTAAAAGGATAAAGAAAATCTTACGGACGGCCTTTTAAGATATCTAGATTACGTTATAAAGAAGGAACTTAAGAACTTTTTTAGTAACTTAATTACTTTACGCTTATAAGAATTAATTAATATAATTATAATTAAAGTCTCTCTATTTTACGTAAGAGCGTTAATAAGAGCTTAAACTTACGAAATAAGATACGTTTCGAAAGAGAGTAGTTAAAATATTATACTTTTAATATATAAGTCTTAGACTTCTAGAAAGAGAAATACGCGTAAGAAATCGTCTTTAATATCTTCTAAAGAAACTTTATTAATCTCTAAGTCTTTAAAAGACTAAATCTAAGAGTTATAGATCGGAGATTAATAATATATCTACTAGATCTAAAAAGACCTTCTTAAAGGTAAAATAGAAGACTTATTCTATAAGAGA